ATAAACACATTTCATTACACCAAATACACAAAATAATGTTCTTTTTAGCAGCATCATATGACCCCTTTAAGACAAATATGTTGTCGGTTTAGCTAACTGAACTTGATTTATTTATATATCATACAGTATCTTTGATAAAAGGATTGCCTGCCTGTTTATTGTGTATGAGTGATCATTTTAAACCAGTGTTGATGCAGTGCATGGTGACTCAGGGTTAGATGTAACTGCATGAAACCTTCAGTGTGAGAATGAATTGGCTTCTGCTGCCCCACTGATCAGCTTATAAGTGAATAGCAGTGGATATGCTCTTTAATTGGTGAAGACTTTGATTTATGAATATCCCTGTTTGTCTCCTCATGCCCCAGGCTCTGAATATTACCTCATCTATGCATTACCTCATATCACCAACATAGTGTCTATATATATCCTTGTATCACCTTTCTGTGTTAACCATGCTATTGTTAGCATAAATCGTGTTATGTTCAGAGATGTTTATATCTTTATTTTAATATAGTCACATACACCATTGTGACTTTTAACAAAAATGTAGCTGTAAAAACATGGGAAAATCTCTTGAAAAATGTCTGCCATGTTTGACCAAGGAAATAAAAAATATATAACATGTAAATGTATGTATATAATATACATAATCATTAAAAGTAATACAAATTAAAATATTATTTGTCTTTTTTAATTAAATATAACCTTGACTTGTTAAATATGACCTGCTCTTGACCGGTTTCATGAGATTCTCCCTGCTAAATGTTTATTTTCCGAAGGGTGACCATAGTGCCTTATGCTGATATGTCACATGATCAATAACCCTTTTTATTCACAGGATGCTTTAGATGCTCTGTGTGTGGAGCTGAGGCAGGCTATTAAACTGATGAATGACTGTGTTTGAGAGGTTGCACGTTATAACATGTTATGATGTCTAATGCTGCTCTTGCCCCCTCATGCCGACCTGCCGTCTCACAGGGACAGGTGGAGGAGGATCCCGTGGCAATCCTAAAGGCAGACCATGCTGCTGCCGCCCATTCTAAGGTCTGCTTTCTGCTTTGTGTGCACCGTAGTTGCATTATCCCACCCTTGACCTGTCGTGTCAAACTTGCCTTTGTGTTGTGGAGTGTTGTGCTCGCACCCATCCCATTTCATTGACAACACCCCAGCCGTAAAGCCATGATTGAGAGAGACACTCTGGGCTCATCTAACATTTAATTAGCATTGGATTGTGGTTAACTGTGCTGTAGTGTTTTCTACACTTCCTTCACATGTGCCACTGTACTTGTAGAGTGTACCGGTTTATCTACAATAATAACATCATATACTAACCAAACACCAGAGGAGAGAAGCTTGTGAACTGGAACACAATCAATGGATCACTGATATATTATCTCTCACTGTCAGCCCATCACAGCAGTTCACAGGGTTCACGTTCAAACCAGTGTGTATAGGTCAAGCATGAGTGCTGTGGAATCAGACATGCCCAGACAACCAGAACATCAGGCTTGTAATCTGACCTCGTCCATCATTTGACGCCTGAGTTGGCTTCATTTACACCTGCCGTTAAACTCTTCCCATCTTGCATGACAGCCCAAAGAATTTTAAGCTCATTTCCCACCGTAGACATTGGGAAACTGTTTTTTGGACTGATCTGGGACCTCTTTGCACTCTAATTGTTATTCTGTCAGCAGAGGTCTCAGATCAGGGTAAAAATACAATTTTTGTGTCATTAAATGATAACAGTCTTTCTCTGATAAGTGTGGACAAATGAATGCATGGAGTGGATTTGAAGCATATCAGTGATGTTCCTGTTCAAAAGACCTGTGTAAAGCCATAAATAATGAGTTTGACTGATGTTTCTCTCCTTCACAGGTGAAAACAGAAGAGCAGATAGCTGCAGAGCAAGCATGGTACGGTTCGGAGAAAGTGTGGCTGGTCCACAAGAATGGATTCTCTCTGGGTTAGTACGAAAGCCATGCAAAATGAACTCAGAGTATTATTTTAAATTGAAGACAACAGGAAATGGCTTTTTCTACTCATTTAACTTCCATAATTTGAAATATTCCTATGTGAAAATAGAATATTGAGCTAGAGTGGAAGAGAAAGTAATTTCAGAGGCGGAGAACATTATTGCATTTTGATGAAAGATTATGGAAAAATTGTCTTCCTTGTGCACTGATGTTTCACACACGACACAAGGGACATTTATTAAGAAAGGAAATTGGTTCGATTTTGATTTTATGCCATATGTAACTTAATACAAGTTTCATTACCATTACAATAAGGAGCGCTTTAAGGCACTAGAATTTTAGAAGTCTGTTTTAATTTTGTTTGATGATGTGTGCAATCAGAAATAAAAATATTCACAGTGTTCTCTGGTGTTCTTTACAGCCACTGTGGTGAAGACAGAGACTGGCAGTCTACCAGAGGGGAAAGTGAAAATCAAACTGGAGCATGATGGGACAGTACTGGATGTGGACGAGGATGACATAGAGAAGGTCAGTTGTCCAGGCTGATAAGATGCGTTTCAGTATGCACAAATAAGAGAATTTATTCATAGTCCAAATGAAAAATTCTATTTTCTAAATGCATGTTACAGAATATTTTGAACAATCTATGTATGTTTAATTTTAAGAAAGTTTTTGACCTCAGAATGTTTAATCATTGTCATAACTGAACCCTCCGGTGACATGCAGGACTTCTCCATTCATTTAGTCCTCTTAAAGCTTGCCCCTGCATATTACTGTGACTTTAATGCTTTAATTTAAAAAATATCTTAATTTGTGTTCTGAAGATAAACAAAGGTCTTACGGGTTTGGAAATGACATGAGAGCGAGTAATTATTGACAGAATTTTAATTTTTGGGTGAACTATTCCCTTAGGTATACAAACAGTTCTTGCTTCATTTAGAGTCGAAAATGACTTGATTCAGTGCGTTAAAGATTCTAACTGATTCTAACTGCAGAGATTTAGTGAATGATTTGTCAGACTGATTTATACTAGACACGCTTGTGAGTGCTTTTGTGTGATACATTAGAAGAAACGTCCTAAATAAGAGTCATTTTGTTCATGATGAGCTGTGCTGTGCTGGTTTTTGAGTGCAGCCAGGAAATAAAATAGAAAAAAATGCAGTACACAATCCCATCACATCTCATTTCATCACATTCAGTTCAGATTGCACAATCACAACAGAAAACAATGATTCCTTTCACTGTGGTGCTGTGGAATCAACAGCAGAGTAGCTGTGTGTATTTTAATGAGTCTTCAGGTCTGCAGGGCTCATGCACAGGGTTATTTGCAGAACTCTTCTACTATCTGGCCTGAATCCAGAGCCAAGTGAGGGTTAGACATGCACAGGTGGGCCCTGGGTAATGTGCACAGGGTGGGAGAAAATGAATGCCAGGATATGGGTCACAGAGAAACAGGTGGGATATGGCCTAATTTTTAAAACAGACAGATTGACTTATATAGACACACTGAGAAGTCTGATAAAATAGTTTCTAATAGAATTTTCAGAGTTTTCACTATTAGGCCTTGATGAGGCATATGCTGGGCAATATTATCAGCTCACTTCCTGCCTGGCACAGTCGTACCTCCCGGTGAAGGACAGCTCTGAGCCGATGATTTCCATAATGTCAAGGCTGCCCTCAAATCAAGTTTTTGAACCATCTGTTCGATGAGAGAATTGCTAAGCTGGATCCAGAGTTGAGCTTGAAAAGTTTTAAATTGCATTAAAGACTTGGCATGAAGTCTTGAGGCTATTATGGCTAAATCACATCAATTTAAAACCTCATACTCTATTTTTTTTGGCATATTCATTTTTTTTTTTACTCTTTCCATTAATCACTAGTCAGATTTCTTGCATTCTTTGACCTTTAACATTTTAAATCCTTCAATCCAGGCGAACCCCCCGTCATTTGACCGCTGTGAGGACTTGGCAGCTCTGCTCTACCTGAATGAGACCAGTGTCATGCATTCCTTGCGCCAGCGCTATGGAGGAAATCTCATCCACACATACGCAGGATCCAACATGGTGATCATCAACCCTACCAGCGCCCCCTCAATGTACTCAGAGAAGGTGAGAGCCCTTGTTTTTCTTTTACACTCCTTGCATCCAAATATGCTTACTACTTTACTATGTAGTATCCACAATATTCATTAAACAGTAGGCGACAAATACTCACATAACGTCCTAGGTCATGAAATGCATATTATACTCTGACAGTGTGCGATTTATAGATGGAGCTACTCACTGTGGCAGCAATGCATTATGGGTACAATATTTTCTACAACTGTCCCTTCGTCAGTTTAACACAATAGGAACTGAAAGCCGCTAATGAGCTTTATTGGTTTTCATGCAAGATAAATTACTACCCATAACATGTAATTACAATCCAGAAGAGAATTTCTTTCGGTCACTGGTCCTAATTAAGTGATTTTGCATTATGGATCAAGCTGATTATGTGCCGTGATGAGTGTTTTCTGCATTCTAAAGCTGAAACTATGATATATGTGAAAATATGCTGTTGCACTTGTGCTGGAAAGATGGTTTACACCAACTTTCTTTTCTAATTAACAGCTATTGATTTTCCCTTCATTGGAAAATTTAATGTTTATGGGCTTACATTTGAGGCTTTAAGGTTTCCATTATTGACTTTTCTGTACTACAGAAAACAAACACTCTGTAATACATTAAGATTATTAGTTTGAGTATTTAGTTTTTCCAAACAATGATCTTCATTAAGCTTGTCCACAGAATTTTGTTTTCTTGGGCAAGAGGCATAAAGAAAATTACGTGTTTGTCAGTGTGTTAGAAGTTTATTTTTTCTATCTGTTGTTTCAGGTGATGCACATGTTCAAAGGCTGTCGAAGAGAAGACACAGCCCCTCATATATATGCAGTATCCCAATCCGCCTACCGAAACCTTTTGACAACACGACAGGACCAGTCCATCGTGCTGCTGGGAAAGAGCGGCAGTGGCAAGACCACAAACTGCCAGCATTTAGTCCAGTACCTGGTGTCCATCGCTGGCAGCACTGGAAAGATCTTTACTGGTACAGAGACAAGAGCCATAATAATCTCCTAGCATTTTTAAATGGGATTCTAGGAATGCACCAAATTTTTTTGTATTATTTTAAATCAGTTCTTGCAAACTTTAATAACATAAATGTGTTTGATTTTATTTAAATTATACTAAAATGGTAACCTAAAATGATAACATCTAAATGAACTGGTTTCATTCAAGTCAGAAATATTGTTTAATATCTCTGAACCGAAATACATTAATTTATATCAACAAAACTAATGTATATGGGTTCAGATAGAAATAGCTCTTTAAGGTAACAGTCGCAGATTACCACATTTTACAGTGTACAATCTGTAATTTAATTTAATTTAATTTAAGCTCCAATCTGAAATTTTCATTAATTTGTAAAAGTGCAATACAGTGTAAAAATATTAGAATTTAATAATAGAGATACTTTTTGTTGTTCTTTTGTAACCAAGCTAATATTGGCCTATATGATATGGTCATTATGCATTCCCATTTTTAGCTGCATAGTATCTCACCATGTGCTTGAAAAGCTTGAACAGCCTGTGGTAAAGGGTGAATGGAAGGGTGTCATGCGGTCACTGGAAATGGGCTTGTGTAGCGTGGTGAGAGTGTGAGCGCTGGGAAGAGGGTGACAGATGAGGGCTGTGCTAATGATGCCCACTAAAGCACTCTGATAATTAGCCGTCATCAAGGCCTGCTCAACCCCTGCTCGGTCAATAATGACCTAATGAAGACTACAGTGCTCATCAACTATACCATTAAATAGGCCTTGATGTTATCTCCGTATGCTCGACTCTATGCAGGATCCTGTCTTCTAGTGCAGTCAGTGTTAAAGAGTGAGTCCTTTAGTTAAATATTTATGTGTGTCTCCTTCAGCTGAGAAATGGCAAGCGGTCTACACAATCTTAGAGGCCTTTGGAAACAGTGCCACCTCCATGAACAATAACGCAAGCCGCTTCTCCCAAATCGTCTCACTGGATTTTGACCAGGCTGGTCAGGTGGCCTCAGCCTCCATTCAGGTTTGTCGATATAGTACTGGGTCATATCGAAGTTATATAAAATGCACATTGTACTAATTTTATGACTTATAGTTAAATGGCAATCCTTCATCTATCCACCCACCCTGCTACCTTTAATGCCTTTTTAATAAAATGTTTAATTCAATAAATAATAATGAATAATATAAATGTTATCTTAATAGTTGTACATTTTATAGTACAATACTTTAAAAATTACCCTTTTAAAATGGGCGAAGAATAGAATTCCCTTTTTGTAATTATATAAACATTTGTTTGCTCTGTTCATTTGTAATGTTTTGATAATTTTACTAAGACTCATTAATCTCTTTCTTTTATATGTAGACCATGCTGCTGGAGAAGCTGAGAGTGGTAAAACGACCAGAGACTGAGTCCACTTTTAATGTTTTTTATTACATGATGGCTGGAGCTGACAGCACACTTAGGTAATCTCACAATAATTGTATGCATGTGCATTTTTCAGTTATTTTGTTTGACCCCAACATTTCTGCTCTCAGAAAGTGTGCACTATTGAAGAAATCTGTAAAATAACTATAATTTAATAACTTGATTGTATTTCAATTTTCCTGTAGAACGGAGTTGCATTTTAACCACTTTGCAGAGAACAGTGCTTTTGGGATTGTGCCTCAAACTAAGGTTAGATATTTTATTTAATTTTATTTTTTTTATTGTTTATTGTTTCTTTTTTATTGTTTCTTTTATTTTATTTTATATTATATTATATTATATTATATTTTTTATTTTATTAAAATTCCCATCTAATATTCTTTTTTTGTGTGTGTATACACAGTCTGAGGACAAGCAAAAGGCATCACAACAGTTCACTAAACTGCAGGCAGCTATGAAGGTGTTGGGCATCTCTTCTGATGAACAGAAAGCTCTGTGGCTCATCCTTGGAGCCATATACCACCTTGGAGCTGCAGGGGCCACAAAAGGTAATGCAACGCTCACTCACTCCAAGTCACCAATAACCCCAGCATAAACCTTTAGCAAAACGTATTTAGAAAGTTTAATAGCTTGCTTTGATTCCAAGTCTTCCCCTTTAAGCCCCACACTGTTGTCTCTGAGCTAATTTAGCTCACAAAAGCATTCGACAGCTTTCTCTTTACACATCAGAACTGGAGAGCTTCAAAAAAAGCCTTAATGAGATAAAATGCTCAAAACGCCTAACAAGCACAGAAACAGACTTTATCAATTAAGGCCGACTTACTGTCTGCTTACTGAGCTTAAACAGAGAAGAGACAAGCAGCTCAGGAAACAGTTTGATGTTGAGGAGTTTAGAGATGTGTGTGTTTCTTTAGCTCTAATGAGGATGGATGGCTCAGTATTTACAGTCTGTGATATCACTTCCCCCTCATGCAGTCAGACGATGATGTATTAATGAACCTTTTAATCACCAGACTCCAAACTGTACTGTCTACATGCTGTCTCTAGGGTCCACAGTCATGGGAAACTCAGAAATAGCTGTGAATATTCAAATTGTGTGTGTGTGTGTGTTTGTCTTATAACATCATAGAAAATTGCTATATAGAGAGTTAAATTTCTATAAAATTATTATTTGAAAATTATCCAGTAATAAAAGGTGTGGGAAAGGGTTGGCTTGGATTTGAATACATGGCCATCGGTATGTTTTAATTGTAAGTAATGTGTACTAGTTTGTTGCTGATATATCGTCACTGCAGTCACTGGATTGCTCAGTATCTGCAGTGGATCCGTTCGTTCTAGTCTGGTACTCTTTCCTGTACCTGCATGCCTCCCCTGTGTCTCTCTCAGACAAATGTGGGAACGCCTTATTTCTGACAGGAGGTACTAATACGGCTTTAGTGTTCTGAGTTGGTACTAAAGACTACCATTATATGACATCAAACATCATAACAAAGCTTTTTTAGCAACACATTTCACCTTCAGGACAATATATTCAGTGTTTATAAAGATGTCTTTGTCTCCTGTCACTCAGTCGTACCTGACTGTGCGTACAGCAGGGGGCAGTGTTGTTCTGCCTTATTGTGTTTTGTCTGGGTATTTACCTTGGTCAAGTCTGTTGTTCTTCTTCTTAGTACAGGCAAGTACCTGTAAAAAGTGACAAATAGTTTTTCTATAACAACAGCTTGATATATACTACCGATCATCTTTGGGGACAGTAAGAATTTTTTTTGATACTTTTATTTAGCAAGGATGCATTAAAGTGACAGTAAATACATTTATAATGATTTCCATTTCCGTTTTGATCAAATAAATGCAGCCTTGGAAAGCATAAGAGATTATGTTTTTAGATTTGATAAAAAATACAGTAAATACATTAATTAAAACCTCTTTCAAAAACACTGATAAACCTTTCCCGACCCCCAATTGAATGGTAGTGTACAGTACATAACCAAAAGATACAACGAGCAGTAACTACATGCTTTACTACAGACTTACATAATTTACATTTATTAATTTAGCAGTCCAAAGCAACTTAAATAAACCCAATAAGCACAAGCAATTATACAACATAAATGGTATTAAACCATTTATTTTTTATTAAACATAAAGCAACAGTATTATTCTACAAAATGTTATAAAAAAAAAATTACAATGTAACCTGTACATGTTATTTCAAGAAAACTGACTTTGTAATAATTATGAACTATTATTACTATTATTATAATTTTAAAAAAATATATTTTGAGAAAGTTTTCTACAATTAAAAATATACAAAATAAAAAAAATCACAATTAATTTAGTTTATTACTAGTCCTGATATATGCTATTATATCCATTCATTGGCCAGCCATTGAAAAAAGTGCGTATTGGTCATTTACTAATTGACTAATATGCAATGGAAATGCCTACTGAAAATGCATGGAAGAGCCAATAATATGTGTATATGCAAGAGTTTGTGTGCTAACGATTGCACTTTTGGTTCCTTGTTTTTACAATACTGAAAAATGTCTGTCATGTTCTAACCTCTTCTCTACTTGCATGTTGCATGCTGTTACAACAGAGGCTGATGAAGGTAAAGAGCATGAATATTATATATAAGCACAACAAGCAAACACCTCATTTGTGTATGTGTGTGTGTGTGGCTGCTATCGTAGTTGTCAGACATTTCCATTTGCATTCTTATTGTTGTCTTTTCTTTCTTCTTTCATTTCTCTGCTGGGCTTCTTTTCTTTCAGAGGTTTATAACCATGTCTTAGTCTTGAAGCTTAGATAAAACTTTGGTGGGAATATGTGCGGGTGAGGGAGGGGAGCATCGTAACTTTGTTGTCTTATAAGGCTCAGGCTCTCTGATGTTTCTCCATGTTGTAGACTTTTCATTTCTGCAGTGCTTTTCTGTTGTTAAGACGCAAACACAAATAAAAAGCTCTCAGTTTATTTTAGGCATTCATCTATTCCACCAGAGGCCTGCATTGTTTTTCGTCTCTCTCTGCGACCTCTTCTGGTTGCGGCAACCTCACTGCAGCTTGCGTGTCACTCTTCTTGTGTAGGACTCTGTGATTTGCTCTGAGGTCAGTCGGAGCAATATCCGCTGGAAACTATTGAAAACCTTCAAAAGATTTTAATAAGTGGATACATTTTCTGTGATGTCTAAACATTAAAACTCACAGACATCATCAGACCAGTTTTGACAGTTCTGAAAGTGAGAGTTTTCTCACACAAGAAAACTATAACTACACAATATCAACAATATGGTACCGAAATAGCTTGTTGTACAAAAAACCCCCACATTTTTGATAAAACAATCAAATATATTCAAGTGTATTCAGCCAGATATTATTAGATTTTTATTTGATATTTATGTTTAAAAACCTTGAGATTGATATGCCTAGCCTTATACAAAATTAATAACATGACATATATTTACTAGTGCTGGGTATTAGTTAATTAGTAGATTAATCGCGATTAATCGCATCCAAAATAAAAGTTTCTATTTATATAATATATGTGTGTGTACTGTATATATTTATTATGTATGTATAAAGACACACACAAACAGTATATATTTGGAAAATATTTACATGTATATATTTATATTCATATAATTTATATTATGTATAAATATATTTAATATATAAACATAACATGCTTTTCTTAAATATATACATGCATGTGTGTGCATTTATATATACATAATAAATGTACACCGTACGCACACATATATAAACAAAAACTTTTATTTTCAATGTGATTAATCGTTGCCCAGAACTAATATTTACACTTGTTTTGTTTACACGTTTTGTCATTTTTCCAGTAACCAGTAATCTTGAAACTCGTCTTTGTTTCAATTGAATCCATATTTAATCTCTTGTGGGATGCGTTTTCTTTTACCTTTTATAGATTTTTTTTTTTGAGGATGAGGACATGTCACACAGCCTGTCTATGGCATCTGCTTAATTTGGCAAGTCTTTACCAAGTAACAGATGGATTTGCATGAAAATACCAGTGATTGACTGGATGACAAATTTGAATAACGAAATATAAGGAAAGAGTTTCTCTGCCCTTTAAAACTGCTATTCTAAATAAGCATAATCCTAGTTAGTTGCATTTTATCATCCATGACCGGAACTAACCTGCAGCCTACTTTAATTTGTAATCGACCAGGTGAAAACCACTGCTCTTCTTCATCAAAACTTTTAGTATTTTGATTAAAAGTGGATATTTAGTAAAAATCTGTATTCTAAAGCTAACATGGCGGTACGTAAATGGTATAATCAGCGGAATTGCGTAAGACTTCTCTCGGATACTATAAGAGCCCCACAGTCATTAGTGTTGCTTCATTCAACATGGTATTTTTGCTGTCCCTGTGCATCTCACAGCGGGCCGGAAGCAATTTGCACGTCACGAGTGGGCACAGAAGGCAGCTTACCTCTTGGGTTGCACCCTAGAAGAGCTCTCGTCTTCTATTTTCAAACACCAGCCCAAAGGAACCTTACAGAGATCCACTTCATTCCGCCAGGGACCAGATGATGTTGGGACAGGAGACAACTCAGGTAAGATCTTGCATAATACAAGACCTCTGATACAAAGGAATTGTGTTTGCTGGCTTTGGCAGTATTAAAATGTATGTTTTGCCTCACAGCTCCAAAGATCACCGCTCTGGAGTGTCTGGAGGCCATGGCTGCTGGACTCTACTCTGAACTCTTTACTCTGGTCATCTCACTTGTTAACCGGTAATGTTTGTTACCTCTCATGGTCAGGACATTCATTTTCTTTTTAGTAATGTAGGTTTTTAAATTGCCTACCATAGAGCCCAGCTTCATTTGTGAACAAGGAAAAAGCCTGTATTGTTTGATGACTCTAACATACATTAAATATATATCTATTGTATGTTTGTGCTGGTTTAGAGCGCTGAAGTCGAGTCAACATTCCCTGTGCTCTCTGCTTATTGTGGACACACCGGGATTCCAGAACCCAAAGTTAGCCAAGCGAGACCGTGGAGCCACCTTTGAGGAGCTGTGCCACAACTACACCCAAGAACGTCTCCAAACGCTTTTCCACGAACGCACTTTTGTACAGGAGCTAGAGCGCTACAAGGAGGTGCAGCAGTCCACCCCGTTACAACTATCAAATTATTCATTTTTTTTATTAAATAAATTATAGGCTCAATTCATTTGAGTTAAATCGATCTTGATTTTATTACAACCTCAAATTTAATTATGCAGAATTAACATGTTTGTCTAAGCTGTCATAATCAAATGTGCTTGCTTGCCTTGTTAACAAAATCAATAATCAGTCTAAGTACACGAGCCAATCAGAGATCAGTCATAGAGATAATGGTGCTGTAAGCGATGTTCTGGAACTCCTTACAAGTCGGCATGAAATGAAAATTCTATTCTAAAAATAGACAGGTGCGCGGGAAGATGTTTTAGGTTGGGGGTGCTGTACGCGTGGGGTGGGGGTGGGATTTGGTTGCGATAGAGGCTATTACACTAAGTGAAAATAGCAGTATTTTTTAGTGATATGCTGTTTACACTAAGTGCAAATAGCTATAGATTGTTAAAATAGCAGGATATTCTGCTAATTACTTATTGCAAATAGTGTCAATTATCTGCACCTCAGCATTGTAATACATTATAAAACAGTGTGCAATAATATATGGAACGATATTCCGGACAATTTTCAAATAGAATAGCAAATTGTATTTTCAATTGCGTATTATGTATTGTGCCAAGAAGGTTACACTGTCTGTTCGTTCACGCAGGTACGAAACTGTTTGGTAGCTGCCTTTAGCCCCAATACAAACATGCCCCATAGTATAGTCCCGCCTCTCACATTGATTGACAGCTTTCTGTGTAGACATCGGAAATTCAAATGCAAAAGAATTGGGATTACATTTGAGTTTTGGCAGTTTACATGCACGATGCAGAGAGTGAAAAAGCAAATGTGGTAATTAATATTGCTATTTAAATATGAAAGGCTCATAACTCGTTAGACATGGGAAATACAGTTGCAAATGGATTTAGCTTTTTCATTTGAAATGTGGCAGTCACTGTGCGTTCGCGAAAATGCAAACGGTAATGCAGGATTTGCAATTGCATTTGGATTATGTCACAATTTATGCGTCCACATATTGAAAACGCAAAATACAATTTGCTATTCTATTTGAAAATTGTCCGGAAAATCGGTCCATAATAATAACTTATTGAGTGTAAATTTTCATTCAAATTATTTAATGGATGCCACCTTATTGGGACAAAAGCCCTCCCTACATCTAACCCTACCAAATACTTTATTTATTTTATTTATTTTTTTTCTTTTTTCTTTTTTTGAACAGTAGTGTATATTATTACTTACAGTTAAGGCTGTGCAAAAAAATCACATTTGATTTTTTGCCCAGCCCTACTTACAGTATATTCTATGTTTTGTTAGTTTAAATGATATTATAACTTTATAACTTTTTTTTACCCTACATCTAACCCTACCAAATACTTTATTTTCAACTTTTTGATTATTTCCTTCATTTTTATTAAAAATAAATGCTTTTCTGATGTGATTTGAAATGTGAAAAAAATTCAGATTCGAACCCAGGTCGATAGCGTCAAAAGAAATATGACACACGCTTTACCATCCGAGCCACTGAATCGGACGATTAATGACCGTCTTTTGTAATGTTGACTAGCCCAATCACGTGTTGGTGGGTGGAGTTAGTGTAAATAGCCTCTGCTAACAAGGCTGTTTACACTTAGTGTAAATAGACACTCCGATTTTTTTTTTATTCCAAACAGTTAAACAGTTGCCCACAGAAAAAAACAGGGGGTGCAGCACCCTCAGCACCCCCACTTCCTGTGCCTATGAAAATAGATCTGTTTTTTAAATGCATGTTATTGAGCTTATTGCAAACAATTTATTCATATAGGTTTCGTATTCGCATACATTTAATGCTTTTTTTATTCCGTTTAATCAAATTGTCATAACTCAATCTTTCCAAAAATCCAATTAAGAACCGATGAATAGAAAAAAGTCCCTGCCCTACATTTTCATGCTTGAGGTTTGATTGGTTCTGATTCTAAGCCTCTTACTTGGTTTTTTGTTTGGCCACGAGGCTGTAAAATCATAGCATAAGAGAAAATATAGTATTAGACACATAAAAAGTAGAAAGTCTTAACCCAAAAATCAGTTTGAAATCATAGCTGACTAATACTCCCTCTATCCCTGTTTAGGAAAACATAGAGCTTGCATTAGATGACATAGAGTCCAGTACATCACTGTCTGTATCAGCTATAGACCAAGCCTCCACTCAAGCATTGGTAAGCAACTCTTTTCTCCCCTCATCTTTTCTTTCCTCCTCAGGTTTTTGTAGTGCATCCCAGCTTGTCCCCAAAGGGGCCTTATCTGGAAAATGTGTGCTTTTCAGTTTCAGCTGTGACTTGAATCACTGAGTTTTCCCTCGTCTCTCACAACGTTGGGGAAAATTCAGTTTGACTGCTTGAAAGTTCTAGCTGATGACTTTTGTGTCCTTTAGTTTGTCGTTTGAGAGCGAACTCAACCTCAAAGTTGTTATCTGTTGTGGTAAGTTATTATATTGTTGTATCTAGCCAGTTGTTGCAGGAGCAGCGTGTCAGGAACGTGGCTTTCTGGGAGGTTAATGAGACTAACCTCCCAGAAGATTGCTCTGACAACATTTCATCTTGTGTGTGTAAGTGTATATTTACTATTTATAATTTATATTTATATTTATTATTTATATATATAAATACACACACATGCAGTATATGTTTGGAAAATATTTACATGTATTTACATGTGAGTGGCAGGAACACATGGTACATGTTATGTTTCTCAGCAATATAACAATCACACACTGCAGGATAGGGCATTTTATTTAGTCATTTTCTAGATATTGCAGCAACCAATTTCTATTAGTATCTCAGGTAACCATCTTTATGATTGAACTTGAAAACAGAGGGAAGAGAGAGCAAGAGGACGCAGCTGGGAAAAAAAATTGCATAAAAAAAAAAAAAAAATCTATATTTTTGCGACCACCAATGTGTTTAACTCTTTCCTCGCCAGCATTTTTGAAAAAAAGTTGCCAGCCAGCACCAGATGATTTTCACTCAAATTTGATGGCCTCCAGTATATTTTGCTGTATGAATATTTGAATATGCAATACACCAAAATAAAGATCAGAGCCTCTACTTTTAAACAAAAAAAAAATCAGTTTTATTCTAGCTTAAAGCATTCTTTTTTTATCAACACTTAAATGGTAGGTTTCATAAAAATGCATAATTTTGAGCAAAAAGGTGAGAAAATCACATATCAAAAACTACATCTGGATAATATTCAGTACAATTATCAAAGCATAAATCCAGTAAATCGCTTCCATCAAAACCTCCAAAGCTTGCACAGACATATACCACTTCCTGGATCAACATTTTACTCTGTAACATTATGCAGTTTTCATTTATATGCTGTCTATTGCCGATGATCGCATTATTTTTCATATGCATCTGTTTACATAAGAGATCACTAGTTTTTCTGTCCTGTTCACGTGTGTTTTTGTTCGGGAGGTTTTGTACTCGTTCAGCAGATATTTAATAGTGCCCCTGAGTGTATAACAGAGAAAACACGAAAAGCCGTAAAAACTCGTCTTTGGCGGGGAAGCGTTTTCTTTTAAAAGAGACGAGATAACTCGTCAATGGAGTGGAAAGAGTTAATGTTTAAACAGGCATCCTTGGCTTAAAAAAGGGTTTTAGATTAGAATGGGTCAGTTGATACGTGACTGATTGCAAAGACGATGAGTGTGATTTTATTTCTAACAAGCTGCTTTGAGTATCACTATGAAGTGTTTTGAATGCCACCAGTGGTGTTTTGAATGATCACCAATTACGATTTTACGAATTGAAGTAGAAATGCAAACACAAATGCCTGTGTAGTCATGTAATCTTTTATGCCTTTCTCTGCTTTTCAGTTTGCTGAAGTTTTGAAAGAAATTCATAAATTGTCAAATGAGCACTTTAAAAATTAAGTAATTGAAAGCACTCGTTAAAACAACCCTGACGAGTTAATTAGCCAATCTGTGCCTGATGAAAATAGTACAGAGGCATGGTGACGACAGTCTCATCAGTGTGAAAAGTAATATTTAAAGACATATTCTGAGCATATTCATAAGCCAACATAATTGCTGTAAATTCTTTTCCGCACCAGTCTCATCCGCAGTTATTCAGCAGCCTGCAAAGTGTCAGTGCGGTAATGCAGCACAAGGACGAAGCCATTACTGGTATTAATTGCTTAAGTAGACTGCCAGAGTGTAAGGTTTAAAAATGCCTGCCTGACTGCCCTGGAGCTCTTACTTAATACAGGCCTTTAATGAGGAGCCCAAGACTAATAGCTCATCTTTTTTCCCCTCGTTTTCTCCTCCTCTCTCTTATTCTATAAAGGATAGTAATTGCTTTCATGTAATGACTAATGTTGTGCTTGAGGTCATTATCGAAATATGAAATGAAAAGTAAATTAAACAATGCACAGTCCTGATGAATGAAAGGGTCTTGAATTGCGAGTAAACAAAGTTCTTGAGAGAGATTGAGTTGTTATAGCCACAGTGCAGCATACGCTTTTGGGTCTTGTTATTCGCACTGATGATTCATGTGAAGAATCTTAGTGGAAAAGAATTTCAAAAAGAAATGGCGGAGAGTGATGAGTTGGTAGTGCTTTCAGAAGGTTTAGAGGTCCTTTTATAATGGGTTAATGCTGTTTGTATGTTATGTGTGCATAAGTGTGGTCACATTCACATGTCCTTTTTCTGACTTCATTTATATGTCAGGCTTTACAGGGTTAAACATTAAAAAGTATTTACACTCTAGCCCAAAAGTGGGGTTGTAACCTAAATTTGGGGCTCGTCCGGGATTTGAATCGGTTGTGTCCCCAGCTCCCTAGTTTATATTACTGACCCCTGTCTACAGTTCAGTGTAACAAAATGTTCTTGCATGTCCGTATGATTCAGGTACGGACCTTGGCCAGGACAGATGAGGCGAGGGGCCTGCTGTGGCTGATGGAGGAAGAAGCTCTGCAGCCCGGGGGCTCGGAGGAAACTCTACTGGAGAGACTCTTCAGTTATTACAGCCCTGTGGATGGAGAGAGCAAAGGTCAGAACACAATACACCTCCCACATGCCCACCCACGCACATACTATAACACATAGACGTTTATGTATGAAAAAGTCATGCAACCTCATGCGCTCAATGCGTCCCCCAGGCCCTGCCCTGCTGCTGAAGAGTGAGAAGGCACATCACTTCCTGTTGGGTCACAGCCATGGGACTGACTGGGTGGAGTATGATGCTAGCGGCTGGTTGAGCCATGCCAAACAGAATCCTGCCTCTCAGAATGCAGCCATTTTACTGCAGGACTCTCAGAAGTAAGACCTTAATATCTGCCTGCTGGTACAAACATTTAGCAAACTCCGTCTCTACGAGTGCTGTGAGTTTGGGTTGCTTATAACTAAATGTGAAAACCAAAATGTGAAAACCAAAATCATTCATTTATTTAGTTAAATGTTTATAAGAGAAGAAATTAAGACAGGCAAGAAATTGTAATATTTATTGATTTATATTTTATACTTTAAATAATAATAGTAGTCATAATAATAATAATCATATAAATACTGTTTTGCATTATACAGTACAATAGTATTATTGCAATATTAAAAATATTTTTTTGATTTATTGAATTTTTATAATTTAAATAATAAAAATACATTTATTATTACTGTATAGTAATATTGAATGTTTTTAAAAAAATTTTTTTTGCAGTTACCTGAATTGTTTTGGTCAAATTAACGTTTACTATATGTTTAGTGTTTGGGAAGCTAATGTTGCTTGTTACTGAAAAAGCAACTGCTGAGATGTGATTATGTATAATGGCAACATTTTTGCTTATTTCAAATGTTGCATAATTTACTTGTGGAGGCGTTAAATGATCCAGCTTATTCTGTGTGTACCCTGGTCCTTCTCTCTGCAGGAAGAATATCAGCGGCTTGTTTATGGGGCGTTCAGGGGCTGCCACAGTTTTGTCGGGCTCTATTGCTGGGCTTGAGGGCGGATCACAGTTGGCCCTGCGCAGGGCCACAAGCATGAGAAAGACCTTCACCACTGGCGTGGCCGCTGTTAAAAAGAAGTCCCTCTGCATCCAGATTAAACTGCAAGTGGTAAGTGCTTCAAATGTGAAAACTACATCCATACACTAATGCATTCAAAACAGCTAGACAGAGAGCAACGGAATGGAACCTTTATTATGGACCTCCTTGACTGGAACAGAAAATGCAGGGCTCTCAAGATGTGTTTTTAAAGATCCTAGAGCTAAAATTCAGTATGCTAATTAGAGCACTGCCACTAAAATATGAAGTAGAAAATCTAGATAACCTAGTTACCCTCATTAATAAATTAATCAACCATTGTGGCTAGAAGTCGACGATACAGGTTTTTGATGGCCAATGGAATATCTTAGAGCAGGATAGCTGATTTCCTATTTAATTTAAAGATGATAAGTGCTGCAATTAAATGTATATTTATCTACATAGTGTGATGGAGAGACCTTAAAGTTGTCTTCCATCACTGTTTTACTGTGTTCTTATTGTTTCCGATGCATTGTTGTAATTATGCATTTCCTAATATAGCTGAGTGGGCATGGCAATAAGAAGTGCGAACTCGAGGGAAGCGCTCATTATAGTTAATTTATGAAAGTGTACGTGCAAATATGTTTTGATTTATCAGTCCTCTTATTGTTTGTATTTATTTACTTTATTTACTTGTTTGTATTTATTTACTTTATTTATTTACTTAACTCTTGTTACTTATTTTCATGTATAAATCATATTGTGAAACAAGAGTTTATTTGATTAAAAAAACATGGTATGTTCCAATTAGTAAGAGTGGGAAAATGTGTATTTAAGATGGCCGTCACTAGTAGTAAGAAGGGGTGGATGGAATAAGAGCTTGTTAACGAGTTTGTGTTGCTGTGTAAGTATGGTAAACTCCAGCCTCAATATTGTGGAGGGGAGTTAGTATTGTTTTAAGTACTCAGCAGTTCTAGTTTTAGACTGTTTTATCAACAATCTTTGTTTTAAGTTCTTAAAACATATTTATTTGCACATCGCCCGAAATAAACAACCTTTTGGACGCCAAATTCGCTCCCGTGATTTTTATCCTCCTTGTGACTGCTTGGGCCGTTATCACACATAGTATTTACCAAATTAGAAGTAAATAATTTTAAAATGAAACAATATAAAAAAATAAACCTGTAAAATAAACATTCGTACTTTAGAAAGAGCTGTCAAAATAGAAGTCCCGGCACTATCAAAATCCATTTTTCAGCCAAACAGAAAAAAACCGTAGCGGCCGATAAATAAAAAAGTGCCTTGAAACTTAATGTGACTATGTTGTATGTTTTCCCATAGGATGCGCTGATAGACACTGTGCGGCGATCTAGGGTGCACTTCGTGCACTGTTTGCTGCCTAAAACGGAGACTTCGGCTGGGGATTTGAAGGTGCTGGGAGGACCCTCATCTCGGTCTGGGGAGATAGTGGCACACGGAGAAAGCTGTGACAACGGCCTCATGCAGCTGGATGTGTGCTTGCTCCGGGCACAGCTGCGCGGCTCCAAACTGCTCGACGCCCTGCGTATCTACCGCCAAGGTTGGAGTTTAAAAAAGCAAGGCATTTAAAAAATAAGATAAAGACCGTGAATTACCCTGGTTATTGATCTGTGACCTTTATTTTGAAGAGAATGTGGAAAAATGTATGAAGAGAGGAAAGATTTCAAAGTTCAAATTTTCCATGCAGGTTTGACTTTTCCGAATATCGTGTTTTTCTCGCAGGGTTTGTTGACCTTTGTAGGGCTTTTGTGGCCAGACGCTATGTAGCATTCTAGATGCCATTTTTTTTATTCTTGGAGACGTTCATGGGCTTATTTTGTTGAGTAGTCTTTTTGAAGACATTGCAGTGAAATCAGCAAAATGTCAGGGAAATGTTTTGGCACATTTCAGCCTAAAGTCCTGAGTAAGCAGAACATTCTCAAGATAAGCGACTGACCAATGCCCTCGTCACTGCTCTCTGCTGAACCTCCACAGACCTTGTAGCTTTCTAGAATCACACATGTCCTTCTCCTGTAATGCTCCTGTCATTCGGCTCTCCTCTTCCTCAAGGTTATCCCGATCATTTGGTCTTTTCGGAGTTCCGTCGCCGCTTTGATGTGCTGACTCCCCACCTGACAAAGAAACATGGGCGGAACTACATCGTAACCGATGAGAGAAGGGTGAGTGTCCTTTTGTGTGTGTGTTTGTGAGTGTGTTGTTTCTCTAAGCGCCATTTGGCTCCTCCTTCATGAGCTGCTCTTCCATGTAATTGATTATGACAGTGCTCAGGGCAGAGAGCTGTGTTGTTGATTAATGGGGCTGTAGTACACATCTTTTCCCCCTTAATCTCAGCTCTGCTCTGGTGACAGGGCAATAAAGGCTTTAATCGGGACCCAGAGTGATGACTCTATCAGTGGCATCCTGTCCTGTCACTGACCCCGCTTCTGTTATTGAGTCTGCAAAGATCAGTAATGTCTTAATGTGAACTTGGTGTATACAATGGATGTATATGTGTATATATGTACATTTTAAATATGTACATTATACATATGTGTGTATATGTAGTATCAGTTAAACATTTGGACATATTTAACTGAACATCTCTCTTTGGTAACAAATTCTCAGCAGATTCCCCATTAGACCTGTGATCTATCTGCTGCTGCTCAGTCTGAGACGTGGCTTTTGGCTTGTCTCTCACCACTGAACCTGTTCACCAGTCGGCCCCTGTGCCCCTGCAGAGAGCACTCAATACCTCCCTGTGCTTTTAGCTCAAACTCTAGCCATTAGTCATCAGTCCACCGAGATTTTTTTAATCCCCTGCTATGTTGTTATTTGCCTGACATCTTGTCAGGAAGAAAGCACTCATGGGTGAGTGGAAGAGAGGGGTCAGACATTAAGAATGTTGTTTGTGACCTGGTTTCCCCAAGGTGGCTTAGCTTTTGGACAGAAAGATCACCCCAGTCAGCACTCTGTCCACTTGGTGCCCTGCTGAGGTGGAAGGCATACTAGATCTTTATGTTTGTCTCACTGTTTTATACGTGTGTGTCTGTGTGTTTCAGGCTGTCGAAGAGCTGCTGGAGTCTCTTGAGCTGGAAAAAAGCAGTTATCACATGGGCTTGAGCAGGGTAAGTCATTCCTCACAATACATGTACTAAACATTAAAAACGATAGTGTAGCTAATGATTTTAGACCTAGAAGTGGCTCATTACCTGCAATACTAAGCTATTCACTCTAGCCAGCAGAGTTTTTATGTAATTTAAGTGTCTGGCATGTTTCAACACTTCTCAATTAATCAACAACAAAAAAAAAAGTCAAGATTGCAATTACGGAAAAATATCAATACACATATCATGTCGGTTTACTCCTGTTGCATCTATTTACATTGTCTTTTGTAGCAGCTGAGCATTGTAACCAATCACAGACATGTCTGTTTATTTTAAGATTGGGGGATTTAAACTCTTGACATCTGGCAACCGCAACCATGAAAGCTTGTGAAGGCTTCTTACCAATGCAAGATAACACAAATGACAAATTAAAATGAATGGTTTCCAGGATAAATAACCAGCGGGCAAATATTGCTGATGATTGTGCTTAATAAATCGAGAGAAGCAGAAATTGTGATCATGATTAAAATACAATTTATTGCACACCCTGAATCAACACTGAACTGACTTGAGCTAAATAATAACACCATTGTTTTTTTTATCATAATCATGAAGCTCTAAATTCATCTAAAAAAAGAAAGACTTCACGTATTCAGTCGCTCTATGTTATGGATCAGTGCATCGAGTCAGTTTGTGGCATACAGATTCGGCCTGAGTCACAAGGATCAGTTCCAAACAGATGGCATGATTTCCATTTAGATTGCCGAAACCTTCGCTTCTTCTACACCTCTTAGACACAGACAGACTTTAATCTGCTCTGCCGCTGTGCTCACATCTGGATGGAAAGTTCGGCAGGGTGGGCTTCGGCCAAAAAGACTCGTCGTCTCCTCTCCCACCATGAAGCACTCTCTGCTCTGGGCCGACGCTTTACCCAGAATGCTAAGCTGCAGATGGGACATGGCTGGCATCGTTGGCAGGCCTCATTGGCGGGCATGTTGGAGCGAGAAAGACAATTATTCAGAGGTTTTCTATGAACACATGAGCCAGGCTGGAAGGTTGTGCTATTGCACACTGGGTCTCCCCTAAACTTCGAATGATTAAAGCAGAATTCCTTTTGTGCATCTTCTGTAGACGATAGATTGATTCTGGCGAGGCACCGGCTTGCTTTGTTTGGTTTACTCTGGCTTGGCGCACGACGATAACTCACTACAAACACCAATCAGCCCAGCAAGATATTGTGCTTCCAGACAAAGAACAGAAACCTGGAGAGAGAGCCAGAATAATAACATTCTGATAAATAGCTGATTACATAAATGGGAATAGATAAAAACGTGTCCAGGAAATACACAAATGATTAGTTTGTGGGCGGCCATCATTTTAGAATTCTGCTTCACACCACTGATGGTGATTGTATATACAGTGGCTATTTTATTTTGTTTTGTTTTGTTTTATTTATTTATTTTGTTTTTGTTTCATGTTGTATTGTTTAAAATAATAGGGCTATTTATTATTTTATCTTATTTTTATCTATTTATTTATTTTTACTTATGTTTTTTTAAAGTAATTTTAAAACCTTTTTAAAAATGTAAGTATTAAAGGAAAATTAATTTAAAGTAAAGCACTTGGGCCAGATTTACTAACAGCTTGTTCCAGCGCAAACCGTCTTTTGGCATTAAAATAGTACTGTCAGGATTTACTAAAGACGTGCAGTGAAGAATTAGCGCTGAAAAGGTGTGGACACAGTTATTTTTGCGCCTGGCCTTATTGGATATGCATTTGTAGGAGTTTCCATTTCAGATGCAAAATTTATGGGAGGAGAGTATTAAAATGAATCACGCAACGCATTTTACTAATGTTTGCACTCGTCAAATTACTGGTATTTGCGCCATTATTTAACGCCCAAACAAAGCCTGTCTTAAAGCAGACGGTAATTTGCGCTGCTCTTGGTAGATTGCGCTGGTCATTATAGAAATGAGATGTTGCGTCTGTGTTCTTTAATGTGCGCATTGTCAGTAAATCACCCGCAGAATTTTCCCCTTCCATCTGTGCTTTATCGCTCTATCACTAATTTGCCCTATTTAGTAAATCTGGCCCCTAGTTTCTTGTGTACAGATGCCACTTAGTTTTGTCTACTGTAGTAACATTAAGACATTTTTTGTCAGCGTTGATGTGAACAGGATCCTAAGCAATCATGAACTCCCTCCGCTGCTTATTGAAAACAGTCATTGTACAGTTGCCACCTTAGTACAATACATCCGTCTAAATCACAGACTCCCCCACTGACTTACACACAAGCTCTTCTCTTTGCACTCCTCCATCGCCATTTGTTTCCCCTTCTCTTCGTGAGGAATGTCATTCTCTTGGTCTCCATGGAAAACGCTGCCATTTGACCCGCGTGAAGGGACCTTTCCACCACGCTGACCTTCGGTGCTATTGTGAGGAAAAGCCTGGCGAATCACAGGCCTGCTTGGTGAATGTCATGGGGTGACTTGGCTAACAAGCAGCCGCATGCATCAGAGACATTTCTGAACACTATCATCATGTTCTTCAAGTGAACGCTTCCAACAGAGTCTCTTAGGATGATGTAATTCAGTAAAATAGTTTCTCGCACATGTTCCCTGGTGCTGTGGGTAATGTAGCTGTGAGTATTTTAGCATCTCCACCTAATCTTACATTTGACTCGAGAGGACCATGAATGAATTTCTCGTTTTGGTGATATCAGGCCTTTTTTGTGGCACATCTTCACTGACATTGAGAAATGAAGCTCAATTTTCCCTTGCTACTCTCCTGAGGTGGAGAGGTCCCTCTCTGATATTACACCTGCCTGAAAGCAGATAAGTGTGTGTGTGTGTGTGTCTTGGCTGCACAGCAGGTAGCTCAGTCCTGATGTTCTAATTTACGGGGTTGTAAAGGGTTGTGGGGAGCATTTCAGGTAAACGTATTGTCCTTTATTTTTATTTGTGGTACCATTGGGTTGGCAGTTGAATGCCGTGGGGTCCGAAAGCTGTCAAACTTTACATGAATATGGAATCATTTCATTACACTCCATTCTCTCCTATGATGTGATGCTTGGAGCTCTGAGAGATTGCCTCCTGTAATAACAATAACCGAGGCTCTACATCACTGAAAGGCTCTGGCTGCCTTTGATGTAAAAAGGAAGATTATACTGCAGAGCTGCTCCAGATAAAGGCTCAATCAAGAGGCATTTGTTGCCATTCCCACAGATGAGTAGTAATTGCAGCAGTGGACTCTCATCTTCCCTTCTCTCTCTCTTTCTCTCACACTCTCTCTATAAATAAATATATATATATATATCTCGAACCAATTTCCCAAAGCAGTACTTCTTTCCAGCACAGGCTCTCAGGTACACCCCAGATTCTGTGCGGTTTTAATTAGGATTCTGTTCATCTAGATTAATCCATCTTGAAAACTAATAGAATGCTAATGCAATTAGACCATGTCCACAGAGTTTGATGAATGCACGTCTGGAAAAAACGCAAGGTCCACTTCCCTCAAATTTCTCTGATTAAATGGCCTAATGGAGTTGGATTCCGAAGTGTTAATCCAACTCGGTTTGACACCCCCACCACAGAGCGGAAAATTACGAGTAAACAGAGCATGGGCAGAGGTTCAGAGGAAATCCTCACGCTTTCAGACAGGGTGGCTGCAGAACTTATTTGCAGGAAAGGAAAATCTGGGACTATGAAATTTTATGTATATCACTCACTTATATAGATCTAAATAATATATGTTAATATACAGTGGGTACGGAAAGTATTCAGACCCCCTTCAATTTTTCACTCTTTGTTATATTGCAGCCATTTGCTAAAATCATTTAAGTTAATTTTTTTTCCTCATTAATGTACACACAGCACCCCATATTGACAGAAAAACACAGAATTGTTGACATTTTTGCAGATTTATTAAAAAAGAAAAACTGAAATATCACATGGTCCTAAGTATTCAGACCCTTTGCTGTGACACTCATATATTTAACTCAGGTGCTGTCCATTTCTTCTGATCATCCTTGAGATGGTTCTACACCTTCATTTGAGTCCAGCAATATAACAAAGAGTGAAAAATTGAAGGGGGTCTGAATACTTTCCGTACCCACTGTATGTGTATTTATTTATTTTTAATTAAAAATAATAATTATACACAAGTTCAAAAGTTTGGGGTCTGGAAGATTTTTGAGTAATTTGTATGCTCACCAAAGCTGCATTTATTCAAATGTACAGTAAAAAATGTAATATTGTGAACTATTGTTACAATTTAAAACAACGGTCTCTTTTAATATTTTGCAATATATTATAAAATGTAATTTCCTGTGATGGCAAAGTTGAAAGCAGCCATTACTCCAGTCTTCAGTGTCACACGATTCTTTCAGAAATCATTGTAATATGCTTTTTATTTTTATTTATTTATTTTTTTTTATAAAAGTGTTTATTTATTTGAAATACAGTCTTACTGATCCTAAACCTATAATTATATAAACCTTTTTTTAAATATTTTTAATATATATTTGTATTTTTGCATTACTGTATCTCTAAGACCCTTTGGGTAAAAGTGTCTGACAAATGTATTAATTTAAATAATTTAATTATAGTTTGTTATAGAAAAACAAGTTATGCTCAGAGTCCAGAGCCTCGATCATAACATTATAACAGGGACCTTTCGAGTAGAGAACTGCACTATCGCGGGACCCGACGCAGCAGAGTGCGGCGCGGGACAACACTTGATAGGCAAGTGCGGGTGTGGGCGGGTAGAGACTCGTGTGTGTGTGGGGGATGCGGGAGATTAAGGGTGTACCCACACTAGGCAATCTTAACCGTGCCCGAGCGCGTTTGACCCCCAAAGCCCGGTTCATTTGACTAGTGCGATCGCTCCGTGCCACGGTTTGTTTAGCCGGCCCTGGCTCGGTTGGAAGAGGTGGGCCAGAGTGCAGTTCAGTTGGGTTTGGGCGCGGCACACATGTAGTGTCAGAGCGCTGAACTTCTGATACATGCAGCATGATTGCGTTAACATTTCTGAGTAGCAAAAGTGATAGATCTGTAAAGCAATATATTGTTAGAGGGCCGTGTCTTACCGCATCCCAAACGACTCAAAATAATAAACGACAAAGTTAACAAAACGATGCACTCCACTGTGCTGAGCGAGAGTTTAATCAATTAATGCGTTAACGCGATAATAATGCGTTAACTTGCCCAGCCCTAATATATATATGTGTATTCAAATAAACTTAAATATATAATACGGATTATCCGCAGCGCCCGCGGATATAACCGCCATCCGCGCATCACTAACATATATATATATATATATACACACTGTATATATTATATTATATATTTAAGTTTATTTGAATATACACACACTATATATATATATACACAAATTTAACAAACAGAATTTAATATCAACGATTTTTATTAACCAAATGTGATGAATTCAGTGACATTTTTATTGTAAGACAGTTTATTGTATTTCCATACATCTCATAGCAGTGGTCTGTTTGCAGGTGTTCTTCAGGGCAGGTGTTTTGGCTAAGCTAGAGGAGCACAGAGATATTCAGACCAGACGCAACATCACCCTGTTTCAGGCAGCGTGCAGGGGCTACTTGGCCCGACAAGCCTTCAAGAAGAGGAAGGTAAGTCCGCCTGATCTCATAAAAAGGGATTCATAATGTAAATAATTTACACTATATGAAACATTTAAGACATTTTAAGCCAATTTTTGTTCCAGCAAAGTGGAAATGTTTTGTGCTTGAGCGTCTCTTTCCCGCTCTCAGTCAGAGCTCTCAGCGCTCGAGTTCATTTATCGTAAGGTTTGTCTCAGAGTCCATCAGAATGTTGGTGCTGTCTTGAGAAAATCCTTCTGGCTGTGGCCTCGGCTGATAGATAACATTCAATCAGCGCATCTCCAGGGAAAAAGACACCTACCCCACTGCCCTCCATCACAGGCCTATCGATTCTCCCGGCACTGCGTGCCCTGCATTCTCACCTGCCCCCTCTCTGTCCATTAATTTCTGCTTTGCCACTCACTCTGTCTCTTTTTGGGTTTAAGCCCTGGCTTCTTGTATTTTGTTCTGCCTTCCTTTCAGTCTCTGATCTTGTGTGCTCTATTCTCACTTTCTCACTTCCACACTCATGCGGCCCTCAGTGGGATTGGCTCAGGATGTGAGGGCCGGTCTTACAGTTGCCTGTGACTTTGTCTCTGTCTCTTGCGAAGACTGGGCCCCGTCTCAGTAAAGTTCGTGTGAAAGGAGGAGGTGGGCTTGATGTAACTCCTCACGCTGCTGTTGGCCCTCAGTGGTCAGCTGCCTTGGCAGTACAGCTTCATCAACAACATCCACTTCCTCTTTCAGTGTTGTACACAAACCAAGAAGGCTTTCCTTGGTGAGACTTTGTTTTCAGTTTACCTCAGAGCTCTTGATAGGAGACAAGACTGTTTACTGGATGTTTTGCTGTAAGTAAAGGGAGTTTGAATGAGTTTGTTTGCACTTGTGGGCTGTTGTTTGTATCGTAGATGTAAGTAGGGGTTGCTTTCTTCAGTTAGATCCAGTTTTTGTACCTCTGTTGTTTAGCAGGGCTCCTTGTAAGGCATCTTTTGTAACACTGATTTGTAGGTGAACCACTTTATAGCTGTTGCCATAAAAGATGGCTTGTGTACTTCTAGATTTGTTTAACTTCTTTGAAAAAGTTCTTGACTAAGTGCTGTGGCTTTCCATTTGCTGGCAGGTTCACTGTTATTTTCCGCTTTCTGTAAAATAATTGTCCCAACAAAGAGCCTTGTCTGGATGCCTCTGAATCACAGCAACCTGTCCCCAAAGGAATATATTATATATATATATTTCCTTAGAAATAAATCTTTTGTCAAGCACATGTCAGAAACCTGTGCTTTACGCTAGACTGAGAGATGAGTCTGGGGATTTGTACTGGGTTGTAGGCAGCTGTAGAAAGTCTCCTGATGGGCCATAACCTCAGACGCCCATGGACTTTTCAGTGACTATATAATGAATATTACATGCAAAAATGCAAACACTTTCTTTTTCTGACCAGCTGTAATCTGATTGAATGGTTTTAGGCCATTTCTGGAAGTCAAGGTACACAAAAAGAGCTTTTGAGAATGAAATAATCACAGAATTTGGTTTTCTGGATAGTGACATCAGATCTTTGAAATAAATTTTCAAGTACACTCTTTGAGGAACTTACTAAAATTAAATATCCACAAGCAGAATTTGATATTATGCCATGTTTTCAAAGGTATGTTCGTAAAAATAAATTGGTACGTTGTATAGTTTTTTTTTTTTTTTGTCTGCAATCTGCCACAAATGGACATTCTCTCTGTCTTTTTTAGTATTTATTTAAAATACTTGAATGAAATAGACATTAACAAGTCTTTATTTGTACACTACCTTTCAAAATTTTGGGGTAAGGTTTTTGAAGAAATACTTTTATTCAGCAAGGAAGCATTAAAGATTTATCTTTCAAATAAATTGTTTTTTTTTAAACTTTCTATTTGTCGCATAATTTAAAAAATGTATCAAGATTTATTAAGAAATGTTTTTTGAGCAGCAAATCAGCATATTAGAATGATTTCTGAAGGATTATGTGACGTGTAATGGCTGCTGAAAATTCGGCTTTACCATCATAGGAATAAATGTTAAAATATATTACAATAGAGAACAATTTTATTTTCTTGTCAAATAAATGCAGCCTTGGTGAGCATAAGAGACTTCTTTCAAAAACATCAAAAAAATCTTACCCCAAACGTTTGAATGGAATTATATTGTAGTATTATTCAACAAAAACTACGGTCAGTTATTTTTCTTGTCATACGATGGTCTCTTCCATTCTGTTTTGTGTTTCTTGGCTAGAATAATGTGCAAATTGAACCATTGCTCTGATTAAATGTCTAGTTATGTGACACTACAAAGGCCCCTGACCTAGTGATGAAAACAGTCTTCGACAGAATCTCAGTATCATATCTTCTTCTAAATCTAAAAAAGTAAGTGGAAAGTGGAAATGGAAAGACCTAAGTATGTGATGGAGTCATTTCTGTTTTATAGGATGTATTTAATCATGTCAAGACAAGCAGTGTTGAGTTGAATCTTTACAGCAGATCCCTGAGAGACAGCCATGTGGGACCAGGCTTCCTGTGGCAAACCAGTTGCCACAATGCAAAATCAATTTGCTTGTTTCTCTCTCAGATCGATAATGGAGGGATCTCAGCACCTTGAAGTCTGTTCCAGTTTTAGAGTGCGTTCTAAGCCTTCAGTCCCTCCAGATTTCTCTGTCTTTCCTCTCTCCTCCTTTCTGTTTGTCTCTGTGGGGGGCATCTGAAAGGAGAACAACTCCACGTGGGCTTCTTTGAAGCTCGTCGGCTCCTCCCCAAGTTTCGTTGACGTTCAGCGGAAATGACACTAGAGGGAGCTGGGAATTTCACGAATGCCAATTGTGTGTCTAATTAACTCATTGCCTAAAGACGCAAGCTTTCGCTCCAAGTGTGAACAGGTGCCCTCGCAGACACGTGTGAGTGCGCTCAAATGTCCTCGTGTTCATACGTGCAGATGAATGCCACCTGCTGATCCGTATTCAAATTCACACCACACACCTGTTGGAAGGGTTGTGGGCGATTTTGTTGGAGTAGCATCCGCTCCTGCCAGGGCCCAGGGCTCACAGGCACCATATCCTCCAGACGGCCATTTTAATTAGGAAGCTCTTCCTGATTTCGCCGTCTCTTACAAGCTGTTTAGATGACTGTTTGTGGCATTTGTTGTGGTCAAAGCGTGGCAAATGAGCTGCGGTGCATATGTCGGCCACGCGCCGCCTCTGTTCTGTGCCGAAGCTTTCTCGCCGTGACAAATTAGACATAGCTCGAACGCAACATGCACGGACTCGGTCCCGTTAATGTGCTGAATTGGGCCTGTCTAATTGGGTTTCCAGATAATCCTCTATTACTTGAATCGTCCCTGTTCCTGCACCATGTAAATCTTATGCAGGGTTTAAATCAGCTGCCAAGTAGTATTGAAGTTTAATTGAATTACTCAAAGGAGCTTGGGGCTTTTGCTTCGAGCTGCATTTCTACACAGTTGGTACGACTCCAGAATCACTCCTCTGTATAGCCTTCTGACGGCCTCATTGAAGAAAATGTGTTTGTTTTCCATTTATTCTTCCTGTGATCATCACAAGTAATGGGTGTTTTGCTGAGGGTTAGTATGTAAGCCATGTTTATGTCCACTAGATGGAGTAGAGCGGCGTTTTTTTTTTCTGAGTATAGAGTGGAAATAAGTGAGTAGCACACTGAGATGTGTGAGATGACTGACTGTGTGTTCATGCCATGCTATAAATATGAAAAATCGAAGTTCTCAAGTTGAATTAATTTGTAATTTTAATTTATTAATTTGATTTATGAACAAATTACTCTAAATTGGTTTGATATAGATATATATAAAAAAAAAAATACTGTATATATATATATATATACACAGTTGTGCTCATAAGTTTACAAACCCCTTGCAGAATATGGAAATACGTTAATAATTTTAACAAAATAAGAGAGCTCGTGAAAATTGCATGTTATTTTTTATTTAGTACTGTCCTGGGGCCTGTTTCAATAAGGAGGTTTAACCAACTCTGAGTTGAAACTTAAACTCTGAGTTGACTTACCCTGAGATGGGAAACTCTGAGTTTTTGGTTTCAAAACAGCTAAATTGTGTTAGTTCAATCCACTCTGAGTAGGTTGACTCTGAGTTTAGCACGTGCACCACGACTATGAGAAGTCATGATCAATGGAGCTCCAAAATTATGATTCACCATGGCAACAGCACAGACAAAAAGACATCAGCATACTTCCGAGTCAATAAATATCTTTAATTCTTAATCACTGTTATAATATCAGAGGTGAAAACTGTAAATTA